AAAACAAAAGAAAATTAAATGTAAATTTTTTTCTTTGAGCAACAAACACTGGACCAAATGTTATTTAAAAAATCAGCAGAGTCAATTTTGTTAAATTTCATTGAGGCTTTCTCTCCGTGATGCCACTATCTTCCCAAACTTGCCTCATTATCTATGCACCATACCCCTATAGCACCCCACTTGTAACATTCTCTCACTTGCCGTAGGTGGAAGTACTCACTTCTGCTGGGAACACCCAGGATTCCTAATGCCAGAGCCATCTTTAAAGCTCAACTGTGCACCCAGTCAGTCCAGAACTATCATTCACCATGCATATAGTGCAAGGGCAAATAAAAGAAATTCTTCTCAGGGTACAAAGGTGGCACAGTTGACACTTCATTGTAAATACAATAAATATTCTTACATCTATTGCTAGTTAATAACCAAGCCAAGCAGCTTTCCTGTCCTTAGCCTCATCCTATTTCAGTAGCTTGTTTAAGGGATTGCTACTCTTTCTCCAAAGCTCAATACAACTCAACATTCTCTTGTTGTTCAATGTGGGACCATCACATTTTGGAAAGCGTTCAAAATATTCTCTTATTTAGCAACAGCCAAAGCAAACAAAAAATAGAAACTGCATTTGCCCATAGGAACAAACAGAAACTGTTTGCCTTTTAAGCAGCAAAAAATTTATAGTCAATGAGTGCTCACTGCACTCAATTCACATCTACTGGGACTGGCTGCTAATGAAGTCCTCTGTGGCTTGTTGCACCTGATGATGCTATTGTGGAGAAGGGGATGCTCCCCGTTCAATGTTCTCAGTTACAGTGTGTTACACGTTGTCTGTATCCGAGGCTGAATCAGACAAACCAGACGTGGTGTGAAAATGGTCTACATCCTCAAGGTTATAGGGGAAAGGATACAGTGATTGTAATGAGGTCACCCAACCTACAAAGGTGGCTTAAGGCATCTGCATTTGCTATTTGGCTTCCTGGATGTGTTCCAACTTGTAACTTTCCGCACTTAGGATGAGACCCCACCACTGAAGTTGACCTCAAGCTGTGGGCAGCACGGTCTTGTCCTCTTTGAGTCATCCTAGCAGGGGTTTGTGGTCTGTGACTATTACAAATTTACATCTGTAAAGGTATTGTTGGAACTTTCTCACACCAGAGATGGCCGTTAAACCTTCCTTCTCTACCTGGGTGTATTTGCACTCTGCAAAGCTAAACTCCGGGAATCATATGCTGTTGGGTATTCCTCTACATTGGGCCATCTGTGAGCCAATGCTACCCCGATACCATTGGGAAAGCATCGCATGTCAGCACCAGATGTTGCTTGGGATCAACACCTTAGATGATGATAGCTGCTTTTCACTTCCCTAAAGGCTACATCTTGGCTATGAGATCTTTTCCAAGGCTTACCTTTTTTCAAGAGCAGACTTAAGGGTGCCAGGATGGAGGCCAGGTTACATATGAACTTTCTGAAATAATTCACCAATCTTAGGACAGGTCTAAGCTCCAGTGCAGACATGGGAGAAAGGGCACATTTGATCACCTTTGCTTTATCTTCCAATTTGCTTTATCTTCCTGGTCTTGTAAGCTCTGCAGCCCAAGTAGATCACTTGGTTTGCCTGCAACACACACTTTTCAGTTTTAAGACATACACCTGCCTTGGAACAACATCTAAAGGCTATGTACAAGTTCTCCAAGTGCTCTTCATTTCTTCCCAATTATTGGCATGTCCTCCAGATAAATGACAACCTAGGATAGACCCTACAAAATGTTTTCCATCATCCACTGAAAAATGGTACAGGCTGACAATATGCTAAATGGCAGTCTTGTATATTGGTACAAATTCTTATGGGTATCAATTGTAGCATACTTCAGGGAATCCTCATCTATCAAACCACAATTGCAGGTACACATGGCTTATGTCCAGTTTCATGAAAAACAGTGCACACCGCCAACCCACCAGCCTTCTGTATAAATCCTCTATCCGAGGGGTTGGGTATTTATCCAGTTGCAAGAAGTGGTTTACCATTTGTTTAACATCCCCACAAAGGTAAACCGACTTGTCGGGTTTCACAATCAGTCCGACCAGTGCTGTACATTCTGCAAACTGTACTGGTTTGATGATTCCTTCGCTTTCCAGCCTCCTGATTTCTGCCTCTACTTTTGCCACAAGGCAATGGCACTGGGTGGGCCTTGCACAATTGTGAAATTGCTTCCTGGTCAACATGCAAGGTGGCCTTGGCTCCTTTGATAGTCCCTAGACCTTCCTGAAAAAAACATCTGGGTATTTAATTAGGACTTCACTCACACAAACCATTTTCTTATCTAAAAATGTTGAGACAACCAGGGTGAACCTTTCTCTACCAATTTCACCCCATCAGGCTTGGGCCCGAGCCTTTTACGACAATCAGTGGTAACTGAACCAGCTGCTTGTCATACAAGACTGGAACCAAAGTTATAGTCACAGGGTCATCGTCATCGAGTTAGAGAAGCTGTACCCTTAATCTGTAAAGCGTCCCTGGTATAGGTTCTCAATCTAGTCTGGTCTTACACAGACGTAAGTGTTGCTGTTCCAGAGCGAATTTTATTAAAGACTGGTTTTGCAATCACTGAAACAGCTGTGCCAGTATCAAACCTCCATTAGAACCGGGTGACCATTTAACCAGATGTTTATTTTGATTAGTTCTGATTTGGATGTTGCCCTGCAATTTAATTGTTCCAAGCCAGGTGTAAGTGGGCTTTCCGGGATGTGCACTCTCCTGGATACCAGCTTATGAGTTCTCTTACTCAATTTAGGTCCAGTGTGACTCTTTTACCGTCTTGATTCCACTACTGGCAGCAACTACAATGTCTTTCCAGCCCGGATCCTGAAGAAAGTTTTAACTGTTTGGCCAAGGCTTAGTTTTGTGTTGGGGTTTTGCTGTGGGGTCACCTAGAGTCGCTCTGTTCAGGATATGTCCTGAGTGAGGCTATGCAGTTGCCCTCACTCAAGTGGTGTTTCCCAAGCTCAATCAGCCTGGCAAGGGTCTCCATTTCCATCAGCATACCTCGCAACTCATACGCTCCACTTGCTGCATTTTCTAATGACAGCAACAATTATAGTGCCTGTTTGAAGTCCAGTTGGGCTTCATCTATTAGGTGCTTTTGCATGGTTACATTGTTAATACCACATACCAAACAGTCTCTCAGCACCTCATTAAGGGTTAAGCCAAAGTCACATGCCTCTGCCAGTCATCTTAACCTTGTCAGAATTCCTAACACAGATTCCCCGGTTCTTGAACTGATAAATAAATCCAATTGCATCTCAGAATTAGAGGAGTCTTGGGGTCATAATATTCCTTAACTAAATCCATCAACTCTCAAAAGGTTTTAGTATGTGATACTTCAGGAAACGTTAGGTTCTTAATAATTGAAAAGCTGCTGGTCCACCAGCTGTCAGGAGAATTATGTTGTAACAAGGTGTGGAGCTGGATGAACACAGCAGGCCAAGCAGCATCAGAGGAGCAGAAAGGCTGACGTTTCGGGCCTAGACCCTTCTTCAGAAATGGGGGAGGGGAAGGGGTTTCTGAAATAAATAGGGAGAGAGGGGGAAGGCGGATAGAAGATGGATAGAGGAGAAGATAGGTGGAGAGGAGACAGACAGGTCAAAGAGACAGGATGCTTTCCGGAGGGAGGAGGGTAACTTCTTCAAGGTAGGCATCCTTAGAAGAGGCTTCGCAGTGGGGTTAAAAACTATCTCAGGAGAATTATGTTGTTGGTCATCTACCCCAATGTCATTTGCCTAGAAAAAAATAATGCATTCTTTCCACATACTGGGCCCAGTCTGTAATGGCAAGATTGAACAAGTAGAGCTTCACAAATAATGGCATGATGCCAGAAAGACAAACTGTTGTGAGTAAATTTCTTTTCTTTCTCATCGCCACCGAAATGACTTCACAGAGGCCAGTATCCCATCACCAAGTCACTCTTTATTTACATGTGCACAGTACTTGAAACTGGTCCAACATTCTCAGAGCCAACTCTCAGAGTGAACAGAGCCTCTGACATTCTTGTTTATTTCTGTCAGCCAGGGCTCCGTGATTGGACCAGGTTAGCAGCCCCAATCAGGGAACTTATTCTATTATGTCCACCTGGCTGACCTCATTACAATCACTACAGACACCATGGGTTTGAAATCAGTCATTATATACATTGAAGCTTAATCTTTCCTAAGAAGGAATGACAATTCTGAAAGCCACATAGCCAGCTCTCAGGAAATAAATTCATTACAATGTTGAGCTTGAGTCTCAAAATAGGAAAAGGCATATTGAGAAACTTGCAGGAAGAGATTAGAACACTAGAGGGTACCCTTGATTCAAAACTTACATGATGGCCAAAGACCCTACAACTAGATATTGCATTGCTTTTTTTCTTTCCACGATAGTGGAACTCCTGTTAATGTCATGTGCCAGGTACACTCAGCTCTCTTAATGCAATAATCAGATGAGCCCAAACAATTAATTTAACATATTGTTGCAATTTTTAAAACTTTTTTTGAAGATGGCATTTCACAACAAGGCAGTTTCAGAGGTATCTTATCTGCATGGCTGCCCTTTATTCTAACTGAACACAGACAGGAATCAAACCAGGACACTTGCTGCTTTGTAGTGAATAGTAATAAATTGCAGAGTGCAATTACACACAAAGCTATTTAACACTTCTAAATGTATCTTTTATCAAATTCTAATAATTCAAGAGTCATAATTTCATGCGATGAGAAAAGTAAGCATATCCAAGTCATAGATAATAAATTATGTACAATTGGAACTCAATATTGCAAATTTTCCAATAATTAATGTTTCCCTGCTGTCAGCCAAGATACAATTATAAATTCATTAATTAAGGCAAAGATAGATGAGATGATCCCATTACACTGAGTTTATAACAATGAGGTTTGACTTTACTCATAGCTGTACACAGAAATGTACACAGAATTATGAGCACAATGCAAACTTTAATGTGATACCTGAAAAGTTTTATCCCTTGACTTTCAAAAATAATTTAAAAAATTCAAATTAAAAAGCCCCCACTTCTGTGGTCCAGAAGTGTTTTCCATTTTTTACAGCTTGTACTGGAGGTTGGACTACAGAAGCTGGCAGTAGAGGATCAATGGAAAGGGGAAATTGTATGGCAGACAGAGAAGAAATTGGAAAAATTGAAGATGCTACACGTGCAGTATTTGTCAGAATAGGGACCACAAAGCCTGTAGAAGATGATTTATTTACATGTTCAAGACGGATACTGCTGAGCATTGACTCTTTGTGATGATTCTGTTCTGCTGGAGGAAAGCTATGTGCAAAAGCATCAGCACTGAGATGAGATAGAGAGGTCAGCACAAGCTGGTGAGGATATTCTGTACTCAAGAGCTGATGGCCTTTCTCGGCAGTTACAACTTCTCTTTGTGATACACATGTGTTTAAATGTGACACCAGGCGAGCCTTCAAAGGATCAGAATGGTCTAATCCCTCAATCACACTGAGATATCTAGCGACTTCAGATAAGCATTCCCGAAATCCCAGAACCTGGAAATCTGTGGCTAATATCGGAGTCTCAAAATAACCTATTAATACAAAAGAGTAAAATTAGAAAATGTACAAAACATCTTACTGCAATAAAAGTAAGTATTGACAATATTTTAACCTTGAAACATCTAGTAAAGCGGGAAAATTTAAAGCTACAACTGTCAGTGACAAATTGCTCAACTATACTCTACCAATGAATTCATAGATTTATCTCGACAACAATACAGATCAATCTCAGGCATTTTAAGAGTAGTTCTGCTGTAATTATCCTTAGGATCTCAATTTACATGTTGGTGAAATAAGGCATCAATCACTCCAACAGGTTTTGGGGATATCAATTGAGGAAAATTCCCAGTTTCATTCTTGTTATCAATAGCAACTAACTAGCCTGTAGATGTTCACTGTCAAAATTCACATATAGTAAAAACAATAAATGAAGTGCTGGAGGGAGACTGACATTTGTGGAATTGAAGCTTACAATTGAGTATCCATTTTGGGGAATAATTTTGTGATTTCTCAGCAAGGAACCACACACAAGTTTACAGTTTACTTTCTCAACAGTTAAAGTAAAAAGACAGCAAACTGCCCTACCATAACCAACAAAGGAAAACAAAAGGCCACATTCACAGCCAATGTTTCTGTCCATTATTAATAAGAGATAGTTGTTGTCATGTTATGTCTGTATGGCTGTATACATTTATGAGATATGCTCATGATATAATCACTGTGTTGTACCATATGGCCTGAAGTATAAAGATCTCATACTCTACCTTTACTCAGATCACTTGAAGCATGACACTCTACTGGAATCATGCTCCTCTGTTGGACTCAATGGGTCAAATGGCCTACTTCCACACAGTACGGATTCTATGATTCTTCTATGTTGTCAACTAATACCTTAATATTAGTCCAGACACTTTCATGCCTGAGGGTTTTAATGTTTGTACATAATTGTTAGTTGTAATATATGTCCGTTGGATTTTCAATACCACAATACACATACACTAAGTTTTGTATGTTACAAGAGATAACATAACATTGTCACATCAGATAAAACATCCTGTTGGTGGCAAACCCACACCAGAGACCTAACCCCATAAACTTAAGCCTGTTGCTGGAGTGAGAAATGAGCATAGCCTAAGGATGTTGGAGAGAGGATCCCAAGATATAAAACTTAACTGAAGAAAAAGAATATTGTGGAGGCAGAGGTAGCAGGAAGGGAATAAAAAGTCTGAGACAAGGAGAAGGAAGGTGTGACATAGAAGCTGGAAGAGGGAGAGACACAGTACTGGAACTCAGGGAAGATTAACCACATAACAGTGCAGGAGTAATGTTTGCAAGGTGAAGACAGTATGGGAATATGATAATGAAGCAAAGGCAATTGAGAAGGAATCAAGGTTGGGGGCCAAGAACATTGTAATGACAACTAGATCCTATATAATTGTTCTTTTGTTGGAATCTGATTGATAGTTTTCTATTAGTTGTAAGTTGAATACAGCAGGTGCACCTACTTGTCCATTGAAAATCAATAGATATATGGTATATAACAAATCTCAGATATAAAATCTTCTAATTTTTTTATTTTGTTATCTTTGCTTGTCATTATGCTTCAGCAAAAATATGAATGTTTTATTTCATGCTTCTTAAACACAACAATAAAGTTATCATGAATATTATGTGCATCCCACTGATATTAGAGCACATAAAGAGACTACTCAGCCATTTATGCCTTTATCAGTGTAAACTCTTCAACTGATCTAATCCCAACTCTTTGCCCTTCCATCTTATTCGTTTCTATTTTCCTCTTCAAATATTTAATAAATTCCCTTTTAAATGACGTTACTTCTGTATCAATTACCACTTCCGGTAAAGCATCCTATTTTCTGGTATCACTCTGTATGAAACTATTTCTTCTAACTTTACCTTTCAGTAGCTAAAGATAATACTTGGTCTAAGACTTATTATTAATTATTTAACAACCACCAGGAATAATCTTGTACTATTCATCTTTCAAAATTCTGAAGAGACCTATTTGGTCCTCCATGAAATTGTTCTGTTTGCATGAATAACATGAGAGACGTAAGCAATTCTTCATAACTATACTCTCTAATTCTAGAGAACATTCTCACAAGTTTTTGGTGTATCATTTGCATTGTTACAATGGAATGCAGCATTCTGGCCATATACTGTGTAATGTTCAGTAAGCCGAAATATATGCATATAAAGATTTAAAGAAGAAAATTTAATTTCTCAGTACTTCAACTGTACATAAAATCTGTTCACATAAGTAGTAAGCAATATCACTTCATCCTATGCCCATGTTCCAATACGCTAAAAAAATGGATTGCAATTAATATTACCATCCTGGAAAAACTCCTCACATACAACTTACTTTTTAACTTCCAATGACTACTGTGAACAAGTGATTTCCAACAAAAAATATTGAGATGAATGAGCAGTTAATTTTTTTTTTGGTGTTCTTGATTGAGGGGAAAATGTTGACCTGCAGCCTGGAAGAAATTTTTGTTCTTCTTCAAATAGTGCTTGGCATCTTTAAATAGCAGAGCAGTAGACATTGCCTGCATAGACTTCAGCAAGGCCTTCAACAAACATCCGCATGGTAGACCAGTAAGTAAAGTTAGATCACATGAAATCCAGTGAGAGCTAGCCAACTGGATACAAAATTGGCTTGACTGTCGGAGACAAAGGGTAGTGATAGAAGATTGTTGTTTGGATTGGAGGTCTGTGACCAGTGGTGTGCTGCAAGGATTGGTGCTGGAGCCACTGTTTGTTGTCATTTATATAAACAATTTGAATGAAGATATAGGAGACATGGTTAGTGCGTTTATGGATGATGCCAAAATTGGTGGTATAGCAGACAGTGAGGAAGAGCCAAAAGGTTGAGGAGTGGTCGATTGAGTTTAATTTAGATAAATTTAGATAAATAAGAGGTGTTGCATTTTGGTAAGGCAAACCATGGCAAGACTCACACAGTTAATGGTAGGGCCCTGGGAAGTGTTGTTGAATGGAGAGACTTAGGGTTTCAGATACATAGTTACTTGAAAGTTGCATCACAGGTAGACAGGGTGGTGAAGATAGCATTTGGCACGCTTACCTTCATTGGTCAGAGCACTGAGTAAATGAGTTGAGGCGTCATGTTGTGGCTAATCAGGACATTTGTGAGGTCACTTTTGGAGTACTGCATGTAGTTCTGGTTGCCCTGCTGTGGGAAGGATGTTATTAAACTGGAAAGGGTGCAGAAAAGATTTACAAGGATGTTGCTGGGACTGGAGGGTTTCAGTTATAAGAAGAGCCTGGACAGTTTGGGATTTTTTTTCCCTGGAACTTATGAAGCTTAGAGGTAACCTTATAGAGCTTTATAAATTCATGACAGGCATAGATAAGGTGAATAGCCAAGGTCTATTCCTCTGGGTAGGTGAGTCCAAAACTAAAGGACATTGGTTTAAGGTGAGAGGGGAAAGATTTAAAAGTGACCTGAGGGGCAACTTTTTTTTACACAGAGGGTGGTGCACTAATGGAACAAACTGTCAGAGGAAGTGGTAGTGACGGGTACAGTTACAACTTTTAAAAGACATTGTTAAACTACAGTGTAGTTTCAGTGCAGGAGACAGTTTCAATATGGGAGACAGATTCAGTGTGAGATAGTAGGATTCTTCAGTGTGAGTGTCAGTTTCAGTGTAGGATGCAATTCCAGTGAGTGTGTCAGTTACAGTGTAGGAGTCAGTTTCGGTGTGGGTGCCAGTTCCATTGTAGGATACAGTTTCAGTGCAGGAGACAGTTCCAGTGTGGGAGACAGTTTCAGTGCGGGACACAGTTTCAGTGTATGAGATAGTTTCAGTGTAGGTGTCAGTTTCAGTGTCGGAGACAGTTTCAGTGTGGGTGTCAGTTTCAGTGTAGGAGACAGTTTCAGTGTGGGTGTCAGTTTCAGTGTAGGAGATAGTTTTCAGTGTAGGTGTCAGTTTCAATGTAGGAGACAGTTTCAGTGAGGGTGTCAGTTCCAGTGTAGGAGACAGTTTCAGTGTGGGTGTCAGTTTCAGTGTAGGAGACAGTTTCAGTGTGGGTGTCAGTTTCAGTGTATGAGATAGCTTCAGTGTGGGTGTCAGTTTCAGTGTAGTAGATAGTTCCAGTGTGGGTGCATGAATAGGAAAATAAGGATATTGGCCAAATGCAGGCAAATGCAACCAGGTCAGTTTCTGGAAACCTTGTTGGCATGGATGAGTTGGACGAGAGGGTCTGTTCCTGTGTTATATGACTCTATCTATCAGAGCCAACAGATCAGGCCAAGTAGGATCTCAGTTGATTGTGTACCCCCATCATGATTGTGACAGGCAAGAGGGACAGCTGAATTTAATTATTTTTGCCATCGTCCTCTCCTGTCCATTACACACGTTGATTTTTAATATTCTTCTGTTTTCTTTACTCTTTTAAAAATAGGCAGTAGTGCTCTCCTAAGCCATGTTTGCAAAGTCAAATTATTTCAGGTTTAAGCTAGGTGAGGTTCAATACTGCATTCAAAATCAGAAGAAACGGTTTGTGACTCATTTTCACACACACACAAACACACGTGCATTCAAGAATGAAAGAAAGAGGTAATCTGCTAATTATAAATCATTTAAAATCAAAGACATGAGAATTAGTTTACATCAACTACAGAGTCCAATAAGTCAATGCCCAATTGAGGTTCTTTCAGTTAGCTGTGCTAAGAAGCCACATGCTGGCAAATGGGACTAGGTCAGATTGGGATGTCTGGTTGACATGGACAAGTCAGACCAAAGGGTCTGTTTCCATGCTTTATGACAATGACTCTAAATCACTTTCACAGAAGCTCAGACATAGGTGAATTGCGAATGAAGGTATGGTAGTTGTAAGCTAGGAACTGGTTCACTTTACAGGCAAAAAATAGATACCTTTTCAGGAATCGGACTTTTGAGAGATGGTGAGAGCAGAGGCTTGTAAACCTGGACCTGATCACTCTTCAGGTGTTACAAGCAGACTGACGAAAGAAGTCAAAAACTAT